ATAGGATGCAAGTGAGACAGCAGGGGGATTCCCACTAAGTAAGTCTGGTCCTAGAGTGTTCTTTCTTCCATATTAATGCCACCTCCCTCATCTTCAAATCACCTTCAGCCAGGACCTCTATCCTGAGATCTAGATCCTGATTTCCAAATGGCTCTTTGACAACTATACCTTATCCCTGAATGTCCCTCAGGTAATGCAAAGCCAACAAATACAAAACCAAACTAGTACCTTTCCTCCACCAACCCCTCCAGTTATCTTCAGTCTTGATGTCATCCTTATTCACTGCCTATTACCAAGACACCTAGGACCATTCTGATCTCTCCTGCTCTCAATGAGTTATCAGTGTATAATAGTTCTAACTTCAAATACATCTCTGGAGCTGAGGCCCACTGCTACATTCCCCATGCTTGCTACTTCTTACTTCAAAATTATTGCATAAGACTCCCAAAAGTAGCATGCCCAAGTCCAGTTTTATAATTACTAAGATATTCATTCATTTCTAAACATACAAACTACTTAAAATATATAGTGAGGGCTGGGATTGTGGCTCAGTGGTACAGCACTTGGCGAGCACATGTGACGCACTGGGTTTGATTCTCAGCACCACATACAAAAATAAATAAAGTTATTTAAAAAAAAAAATATATATATATATATATATACACACACACACACACACACACACACACACACACACACAGAGAGAACTCTTCAATGGTTATCCCTACATAGAAGGGGTCAAATCCAAGGAAACTTCTGTTATTACTCAAAGATCACACATGCAACAATCATTATCAAGCAAAAACCACTGTACTTGGGATCAGGAATGCAAAAATAAATATGGTGGCCTCCTTAGGAAGCTGATAATCCCTGTCAAAGAATAGACAGCTAAGTGCTTCAGCAGAGATTTGCTATGGAAACACAACCTATTAAGAAATTCCTCAAGATGTAATCTAGTACCTGTCTGTCTTGTTTCCAGAAAGGATTATACTGTTCTAGACCCTTCATGAACAAACCCACATTCCTAAAGCTTTCCTAGAGGGAAAAATTCCCTAACTTCCCTCTGCATTGCATTATTCACACTTCCTCCACCATTTAAAGTGAACACACTGATATCTTTTCCTCTGCAATATTTGAAACAAGTAGCCATCTTCACCATTTCACATATGGCTTTACTAGCATTAAATCAGTTTAATAATATTTCTGGATACATAAAAGGTTATTTTCTGCAGTCCTTAGCTGTAGATCAACATATCCATTTTTTTTTTAATTAACATATCCAATTAAATATGTTTAAAAGTGCATGCTGTGGAACCCAAAACCTAGTCAAACTTCCCAACATTCATCATTTACTCTTGGCACCTTGAAGATAAAATTCAGAATTAGCTAAACATTTAATATGTTACTTTTCAAAGCTTACCTCAAACTTCGCCAGTAATATTGAAATTTGGAGAAAAAGTTGATTTTCCAGCAGATAAAACTCCAGTAGAATGACTTCAAAGTGGTAACCACAGATGGAAACACTGTCATATACACAGCTGTCCTCCAAACGACAGCATGGAGAAGAACCTCATGCTTTACTAAACAAAGTCTGAAATGAAGAGCAACGCAAAAACACATTGATATTAAACATTATCTAATTCAACGTTCTGTTCCTAAGAAAATCATAGGTAAGAAATGGAAGGTTTTAGGAATGAAGGTGAACACAGAAGCCTAAGGGAGTGACTGAGTGACTGGGTATACCAACAGAACCCTCGACGTGAACGATGTTACCACCCGGGTCAGTTTAGACAGAAAGAAGCCAGAACCGTCACCACAATGCCCACGAAGGCAGAGGCCCTGCAGGCAACTCCAGAACAAGGCGTCTGTCCCTCCGCAGTTACCAGACACCAAACGAGGGGTGGGGAAGCAAGGGCGCCACCCACCAGAAGCCTACCGCAAGGCCCAGAGCCCCGCTCGCCCGCCCGCAGTGGCCTCGCAGGGCCCGAACAGCCCGGGGGCCGCGGCCCGCCGCCCGCCCGCCTCCGCGCCAACCATCGCCACCCCCCAGCCCCGAATAGAGCTGCCGCCCCGGGCGTGGGTGCACGCGAGACACCGCCCCTACTCACCCAGTCCACCCGCAAGGCTTCGGGAGCAGACACTGCTGCAAAGACGCCCACGGAGGGAAGGCGCGTCCGGCGGCACCGCCAGTGCGCGTGCGCATGTGCGTACCGCCCCCAGCCGGCCTTACCGTGGGCCCTCGGGTTTACGTCAGTTCGCGTCAGAAGGCGAAGGGCGGGGGCGCAGAGCCGGCCGTGGATTGGGTGGTGCGGGGTGACAGAGCGGCTGGAGCCGCTGATTGGAGGGGCCCGCGCGCCCTGGGTTTGAAGCTGCGCGGCCACGGCCGCCGGGTAGCGGAGTTGGGGTGCCGCCCCTGACGCCCTGGCCTGCTTGGAAGCGGAGCTCACTGCGTTCACTTTGGGACCCCAGGACACTGGCTTTTACCCCCGCGAATGATATCCTCCCGTCCTTAGCAGCCGCGGACCTTTCCTACCACCTCTTGGCAGGCGCTGAAATGTGGCAGTCTGCTTTCAGTCATTCAGACCAAAAAGGTCTTGCGTACCTTTCATTCAAAATTTATCGCACAAAGTTTTCATACAGTCCTTTACCTCAAAATTTCTTCCATATAGTGTCAGGTGAAAGAGGTCCCTCTTTCCCAAAGCTAATTCCTTAACTTCATTCAGCAGTTACTGGATATTTTTTAAATATGCACTTGGGAGGAATGAAGAGGGGAAAACACCGAGTTGAATTTAAACTTGGTTTAAACTTGATCCATTCATTTGATTGTTTCCTCAAAAAAAAAAAAAAAAAAAAACTGCCCAGTTATTAATCCTGTTTACCCTTTCTACTGGTTCCCTTCTCTATGAAAAATGCTGCTCCTCTCTATACATACACACACCTTCCATTATTCTGCTTTATGGCCTCTTTGCACCTCTCTTGATCTCTCCTCTTAAAACCCTCCAGAGCCAGTAGGATCTCCTGAGTACTGTGATTAGGGTCAAGTTGAACCAAGGGCCAACTTGTAGGTTCTCTATTGATGGTATGAATTTTATGACAGTGTTTTCCAGACTTGGTCATTTGTTTACCACTTTTTGGTCACTTTGCTATATTCATGATTTTCTAGTGACAAAGAGATCTGCAGGCAGTAAAGCCAAGCTACCTACATCTGAGTGCTGGCTCTCCCTTGTTTCATCCTAGCTTTGTACCTTGGATGAGTAGCAATAAGCCCAGTTTTCTCATCTGTAAAAGCATATTTAGATGACTGGCCCCAGAGGCTTGCTGTGAGGATATAAAGCAGTTAACTCATGTAAAGCATCTAGAAAAGAATTGGTACACAACCGTACTCAACAAACATTAGCCATCATCTTACACCTCAATATCTAACCTTCTTGCCCACTGAAAAGGAGGAATAGAACTCTTGACTCCAAATCTCCTTAGACATTTAGTAGAGCCAACACAGGCCCGCCCCATAGTCATGGATGCCTCAAAGTCAAACATCTCCCATAGCTTCTTTACCAAGTGCTCTAAATGTTACGCCTCAGCCACAAATATTCAAAACCTTCCACAATGAATGATTCCAGATTAATCTCCCACTGGCTCCCTAAATGTTCTCTGCTCTTCCATCAGACTTTTACCTATTTCCTAAGCACTTTACCCTGTTTCACCTTCCTCCACCTCAACTCCACCTGTTGAAATCCCACATCCCTTCCAAATCTTGCCAGCTCAGTTAAGTAAATGGTTTTTATGCCAACTATACAGTTTCTACCTTTCTTACAAAGCAGAACCCATTTCCTTTTGTAAACTGGAAATGCCTTCTCCCACCAGAATGTATGCCAACTACTTTTCTATTTCTTATATGGTGTTTTGCACATAGTAAGTGCCCAGTATTCACTAAATTGGAGAATGGTCTCAACTCTTTGTCACTCAACCCCAGTTAACTCCAAAATGATGGAAACCTCAAAGATATGAATTATTAATTCTGAGCTAGATCCATCCTTAAATTGGAGTCTTTGCTTTGATCCGACATAATCTTAAAAGTCCTTTAACAAAAGGAAAACCATCAAGAATTATTTGAAAGGGATTTCTTTTTACACTGGAATGTTAACTTTACAGACAAAACATCTTAATTAAAAACAAAATTCATATATTCCTTAAACTAAATGTAGTATATATTCTATCTGCTCTCTATCCTATGAACGTTAAAAACCTATGAGGCTGGGGCTGGGGCTCAGTGGCAGAGCGCTCCCCTAGCACATATGAGACACTGGGTTCGATCCTCAGCACCACATAAAAATAAATAAAATAAAGGTATTGTGTCCAACTACAACTAAAAAAATAAAAATATTAAAAAAAAAAAAACTATGAGGCTGGATGCAGTGGCACATGCCTGTAATCTCAGTAACTTACAGAGTTGAGGCAAGAGGACTGCAAGTTAAAGGCCAGGGTCAGCAACTTAGCCATATTTGAAATACTATTCAAAATACACCTCCTTTTAGCCCTGAAGGTTAAATTCTTGCCAGATCCTAAGAAAATGTGAACCTATAAGAATATTAGTAGCCTCATAGTTTTAATCACTTCACCATATTATCAAGTATATATTCTAATCTCTAACTTAAAAATATTTTAGAAAATAATCTATTCCAATGTTGAATAACCAAGTTAGTGATAATCAACATCTCTCAGTTCTAGATTTAATTTTCATGTTGGCATCCTAATCCCTTTATTTTCCTTTTGTTTGGATTTTTTGGTTTCTGTGACGTGGTAGAAGGAGAGTAAGTCGTATGAACAATCTTAAGTAAATTACTTTCTATTTTTATAAGGCAACAGATTCATGTCTTTTAAAATAGATTTTATTAAATAACTACTTGGATAATAATTACAGAGGCTTTAAATAGAAATTCCAAGTAGTGAAAGACAATTTCCTTAAAAAAAAAAAAAAAAAAAAAGACAAAATATCCATATTGTTTTGCTGCTTTATACACAGGAATGATTTATTTTACACATTAGTCACAACATTTAGCCTGTAAAAATTAAAAACATTTCTTAATATGTCTCAAAGGCAGAATGAATTCCATAATGATGTTTTCACATTAACCAGTATGACAAAGCAGAATTTAAGACTATGATAACAATTCAAAATAAAATTTACAAAACAGGCACTTGGAAGTCAGCTACTGTGTAATTTTCACAGTTGATGTTATTTGTACACATTTCATCAAAGGTTATCAACCAGTGAAGCCAATGTTCCTTTGATGCAGACTCACAAACAGGTTTAGGTTCCAAACACTGTGTTCTGGTTGTGATACATGCAAGACAGACCCTAAATAAGAAAAGTCTTCTGAAAGAAAAAGAAGAAAAACAAAAAGCAGCCAGGAATGAAAGCATTTACAAGCATTTGAATAAGGCCTTTAAATATTAAGTCAGTGTTTTAAACCCCTTCATTCTCAGGTAAGGGATTAAGAGGCCGAGAGAGAGATCGTCTGCGAGGGTGAGGATACTGGAGGTTGGCAGTGTCAGCATCGCAAGAGGGCTCTAGCAGAGGAGGAGGAGGAGGAGGAGGAGGAGGAGGAAGGAGCTGGGCATAACTGGACCATCTCGATCCAGCCCGTGGGGAATCCAGAGGGGGAAAGAAATACCTGAAACAACGGAGACAGGAACAAAACACCAAAACAAAACAGGAAAAAAAAAAAAAAAAAAGAAAAGAAAAAAACAAAACAGAAGAAAAAGAGAAAAGTAGTAAATACAAAGAGAACCAAAGAGGAGAAAACACATGCTGGAAAAAAAAGCTTTAGTATATTCATGCCAAACTAACAGAACATAATAGCACAAACCAAGACCCTTACTCAAATCAAGACTGCTTAAGCAAGTATAGAAACTTGAAGGGAAGAAATACAATCTGTTAAAATATCAAAGAAATTATCAGTATGAATGTTACAAAGACATTAATTTTATAAATTTAAAATGTTGTCTAACCTCTCAGAAATGTCTGATGCCGTTCTGTAAATTGGCAATCTAATGTGCTTTCTCGCTGAGAGCAGTGCTCCATCTGTAGCAGCAGCAGGCACACGTTTTTTTAGTGCATACATGATACTGAAAACCAATTTGAATACACTTTCACATTGTATTTCTGGCTATTGCAACATACTTTTGAAGAAATACAATCATTAAATATACTTATTTTTCTGCAAAAACCTTAAAATAGCTACAGAATTTTGATATGTAAAAGGACTCAAAGAATTATTATGCCCTATTATCATTATTGCGCCATTGTATAACTTACCCGTAATACTTATGCATTTTAGCAAATGTAAAGATTTATAGCCATGTCATCAAGATCAGAGCCTTAGAGGACATGAACAAACCGAAACAGCAAACTAAAGGAAGTCCTGAGACATGGGATTTGTAAGTTAATTTGCATGCACACTTTTAGCAAAACTGTAACTGATTATATTTCCAAATTGTGTCTTGAAGGAAACTTTAAGCCATGAAATCACATCACAAAAATATACATGCACATATCAGAAACATTTAAGTCTTTAGTGAATATGATTGGAAACATATAAAGCTGTTTCCATTTCCCACCAAATTATGAATGAAACAATACCAAACACTCCACTTGGCTACAAACTGTACAGTCAAATTACTTTCATCTTACTAATACTACTTTGCTAATTTCCTCATTTACTACTACTTTTTAAATATTACAAAGGAATGACAGTTGTATGAAATAATATCATTTATAAAGCAATTCTACAAAAGGTAAACAAATTAGCACTCAAAACAATCTTTATGAAAAATATTTATTCAATCTTCGAATTAAAATTATAAAAATTCATCATGTTTAGCTTATTTAGAAAACAAAAGAAATATATCTATATTCTCCAAATGGAATAAAATGGTATCTTCCCTCCTCCCAACCAGTTATAAGGATTTAACAATCCTTTTAATTTTCAAATCCAACTGAGTTTCAGCAACATTTCAAAAAATTGTTTTGGTGTCAATGTCTCAACAAAAAGCCTCTCCATTTAAATCTCAAGAGTTTCAAATAGTGTCAATAAACTGACTATACAAAAAAAAATTATATCAACTGCATTTCTAAAGGCCTTTGGGGCTGCGTTTAGTAGTAAGCAGGCTGCTGGTGTGTCCTGGGAGAGGTCAAACGGCGCTGGGGAAGGGGGAAAGGAGCTGGCGTCCCATTCCTGTGTGCATGCAACAAGCAGCAAAACAGCAGAGTTACTCCAGTTAGCTTGTACTCAGCTGTGCTTTCTGTTAAAGGACATAATGCAAATGGAGAAGGGAAAATGCATCACAGATCTAACACAGATGGGTATTGGCACAATAAGAACACAGATCAAACACGTCAAAGCTATGTACGAAAGAAAACGGGCAGTACAGGCAGCCTCCTAAAGCCAGATTTAAAATATACACTCTAGTATTCTTTGCTTCATGAACTCATCTTTATAATCTGCCATCTTATGTGGTAACCTAAAATTGTTTTAATAGATGTAAAACTAAAAATCTCAGAATCAAGTAGCAAGACTTTCTTTTTCCTGTTTTTTGTTTGTTTGTTTTGTTGTTGTTTTGCTTTGTTTCCTTTTTCTTCTGCAATGCTGGGGATCAAACCAGGGCCTCATACTCATGACTTCTTTATAAAAATATAACAACATAATAATACTTGAAGAAACTTTAAATACAATTTTCTTCTTTTATTTAGGATCTAAGATGACAATAAGGATAATGTGCAGAACCAAGCTATGGCACAATGACAGCACAAATCAGTTTGTGAAGACTTAGTTTTGACGTTTCCTAAACTCCATTTCAAATTATCCAAAAGGGTATATTTACAATAACTTTCTTATAAAGTCACATATTTGAAATTTGGATATGAAAACAAAATGATTCTTAGGGTTACATCAAGTTTTCTTTTGTTCTAAAGGTTCTTTATTACGAGAAGCAAGAATCTAATAATATGCTAAATATTCTAAAAACTCAAGACCTGGGGTGTTATCATTTCCTTTTATAATCTACTTTAGATTATAAAACTTTAAAGTTTTTATTTAAAACTTTAAAGTTTTAAACACAAACGCCAAATCATTTAACTCACTCTCTTTTACAAAGCCTTAATGCATTTTATTCAAAATTTGTTTGACCTAATGCAAAAGCAGAAACTATATGCTCTAAGCACTAAAAAAACAGTGCTTATCCAGAACTAAAACCCTCACTATTAAACTATTTATTCTTCCTCTCACTGCTGCAGAGGCAAGGTAGAATATGAAAGCTACAAACATTTCTCCTGACAGACCATTCAATTCAGAATATAGTTTAGTTTAATGGCCTCCCAAACTACCTATAAAAATTATGACCAAGTAAGCCAAATTCAGAGCTAACAACGTCAATTTTTAAATTCTAACACTAATAATTTGTACATTTTCTCATTCATCCTAAAATTCATAAAACAGCATGCCTTTAGTGTGATGACCAAAATGATTTTAAAAAGAAGACAACTTCTGATTTTTCCCACAGAACAGCCTACCTGCTAGCAGAAGATCCATTTAATGAGTTTTGAAGACTTGGAATATTTGAACCTAGGGAAGGGTTTGAGTTTCCTTGCTGAGAACTCCCATTGACTGGGCTCCCATTACCTTTCAAGATGCCAGTGCACTTCCAGTTGTCCATATAATTAGCTAAAAGAAAAACGGTCAAAGACATCAACATGAGTGATACCTGTGCACAATAGCATAAATCCAGATTCATGTCCTCAAACGGTAATTAAAGAAATGAGACAGAAACCGTGGGCTACATTTCTTTCCAGGTAAGTATTAAAGACCTTTTGTTTTAGGTTCTGGGAATGGAACCCAGGGCCTCAAGCATGCCAAGCAAGTGTTCTACCACCGAGTTACACCCCAGCCCATTTTCTATTTTGTTTTGTTTTTTACCACATTATCATGTTATGAAGTTAATATCACAATAAAATCTCCATCTCTGCTATAACGAATCTGCATAAGGTAATGAAGATATCTTCTTGGTTATGTGGGGACCTGCCATCTTCACAGATGGATGTGAGCAGCAAAACCTTTGACTGTAGGTTGGACTGGCTTATCCAACATGGCCCTACAGTCAAAAAGCCCAGAAAATTCAAGTGAGGCTGCAGAGTCCTGACTAAGGCCCAGAGGAAAAATGACAGCACAGTTCTTTTAAAATCAAATGACACTGAGGAAAGGAAAATCTGGGCTATTTCTGCCACGGGAGGCCCAAGGTTTAGCCAGACTGCACTTCAGGAAACAATGGCCACTCAGTGTAAGTGACACAATATGGTTATGCCAAGTACAGCATGCTGCCCACCATCGTGGTGTACAAACCACAGACTTTCCTCCTGCTGGATAAACAATCGTGGAAAAGTGCAGAACCAAGCTACAGAGACAAGTCTTGTCAACCACCCAGACCTAGCTCCCTCTCAGAATGCTACAAGTAAGAAACTAAGAATCAAAGTACCAGAACTGGGGTTGTAGCTCAGTGGTAGAGTGCTTGCCTAGCATGAGTGTTAGGCACTGGGTTGGATTCTCAGCACTACATATAAATAAATAAAAGTCCACTGACAACTAAAAAAAAAAAAAAAAGAATCAGAGTCCCAAGAAAGGAAGTGGAGAGGACACTAGATTTAAGGACTGGTTGTCTAATAAAATTATATAGTAAGAGATGATTTCAGTCCTATCCCAAGTTTGTAGAAGAGCCACACAAGTTACGTATGTAGTAAATGGTATCTGTTTATTGATGATACTACATACTGTTACAATTATTTTTAAAAGTTGCCATGTTATATAAAGAAACAATTCCGTCAGTCATTAAGTACTGTGAACTAAGTAATAAGATACTGATTTTAAAGTTGCTATAAAAGGTAATTCTTTTCAAAATATTTCAGAATTTACATTCCTCAATGAAAATTCTAAAAGCAAAATATAAAGCAATAATTACCCCTCCATGGAACTTTTCCTACCTTTCCACAGTCTTACACAGCCATCATCTCCTGAAGAGGCCAGCACTGTTCCAGTTATATTCCAACTTACTCGCCAGACCTGAGAATTATGATTATCAAACTGAGCCACTATGTGGATTTCAAATTTTGTTGGCCCACCAGAGGAAGTAAGTTCTTTCCTGTTAATTAGGGGAAAAAAATTTTTCTGAGGAATTCTGAAGGAAGTTTTTAAATTTAATGATAAATTATTTGTACTGTCCTAAATAAGAAAGACAAATGATCTCATGTACTTTATTTACCACATAATTTTATAGTAATTTGCCTATCTTTATACTCTCCCACCCCAAGCCCTTGAGCTGGTCAAGTGTGGCCATCTTTTTTTTGGTACTTGGATTGAATCCATGACACTTTATTACTGAGCCACAGCCCAAACCCTTTGTTATTTCCTGTTTTGAGAAAGGGACTCACTAAGATGCTTAGGGCCTCACTAAGTTACTAAGGTTAGCAGCAAACTTTCAATCATCTTGCCTTAGTCTCCCAATTTCTGGAATTACACCACACTCACTGCACCAGGCTGCTGGTGCCATTTTCATTTGATTCCCCCACAGAACCCAGAGTGATCCCAGCCCATAAATGATACTCAGAGATAAATAAGGATATTATTACCCCAAATAAGGCTGAGGAATCAAATGCTTGATAATAATTAGCTGAAAAAGGAAGAAAAGCAAGAAGGGAAGAATGAAAAGAAAAAGAACTAAAACTCACATTTCAAAATTAAAACTAGCGAGATTATTTGCAAAATGTCTCAATCTCAATGCTAATTTAGTTTTTCCTAAGTAGATGGCCACTTCTCATCTTTGGAACATTTTGTAGGGTACCAATTATATTTAGAGTACCAATTCATTGTACCAATTCATTGTTAGTATTAGCCTAAATAAAACAGTTAAGAGAATGTAAGTCTCCTCTCTTTACTCAATTCCCCATCCCAAAAGGTGACATAGTTACATATACAATGTTCATTAAAGAACCAATCTTCAGATCATAGTTACCAATTCTCTCTTCCAAAGACAATTAGGGGGCAAGAGTATTTTCAAATGCATAATTGTTTCTAAAACTCACCTCACAGGCTTTAATGTAAAAATTCTGACATCTTTGGTTGCTATTGCTAGAATATGAAAAGATCTTCCCAAGTTTGGAGCAAACGCAATATCATGTACAGGATCAGTGACTGTCATGAGAGTTTCGGCTTTTGCGTATTTCCTAATGAAAAAAACAATTTACATTAAAATTTCTGAAAATAAAATTTGCAAAACTCCACATCAAAGTACCTCAATTTTTTTCATTCTGCTCATAATCAAGGCATGTTCACCTCTGCAGTGGGCTGAATAGTAGTCCCCAAAAAGGGACCAAATCCTAACCTCCCAAACCTGTGAACTGGCCTTATTCAGAAAAAGGGTCTGTGTAATTAAAGATCTCAGGATGAGTTCATCCTGAATTTAAGGTGGACCCTGAATCCAGTGTTCACTGTCCTTTCCTAAGACAAAAGGAGAAACAGAGATGCAAAGAAGGCTCTAGTGAACAGAGGCAGAAACTGGAGTTACACCACCACAAGCCAAGAACTCCTGGAGCCGCAAGAAATGCCAAGGAGAACGGATTTCAGGCAACGTACAGCCCTGTCAATGGCTTGATTTCAGATGTCTGGCCTCCAAAACTATAAGCAAACAATTCTGCTGGGCTAAGTTACTCAGTTTGGGGTAATTTGTTATGGCAACCCCAGGAAACCAATGTAACCTCCCAGGTTTACTCCTTTGATAATTTAACTTAAAACAGTTTAATAAAAATTTAACTAAAATTAAGTCTTGATTTAGGAACCATTGATATAGTTTTTAAGAAACAGGCCAGGAATTAGCTACATGCGTGAGTGTACATTTAAAAAAAATAATAATAAAGCTGGGAGCAATGGAAATTGAAGTTTTTCACAAGGTGACTAAAGGAAACTGCCCAAGTCTAGTTCACTCTTACAAATCTATTTATCTACAGATAAAGGACAACAGTGAGGAGCTGGCAGGTCAGTTTTCTACATACCCTCCGAAACAGCGGTGCTTCCCTGCCTTCTATTCTTAAACCTTCTCACCCTGACACCTTTCAGAATACCTACCAACTTAAAAAACCTCTATAGTTCCTCTCTTTGAGCTCCTCTTTTTATAGACACAATCACCTAAGCAGTCTCCACCATATGCTTGCCTCTACTGTGTGGTCCGCAGCTGCCTGGAAGCTTCTGAGAGATGTATACTCAGCACCACCACAAGCCCAAGCAATCAAGAACATGTATTTTAACAATATCCACAGATGACCTACCTGGACAGCAAAGTTTCTATGCTCATAGCTTCACTACCCATATACCAATCAATTCCCATATATACATATATGTGAATGAACATATGTGTGTATACATGTTTTCATATTCAAATTTACACACACACACACATGTGCATCTCACCTCCAATCCAGTCCCTTCTGCCAAAGACTAGATAAGAGGGAAGGATAGCACTAAAGAGCACACACATTAAGTCAGAGTGCCCATGTCCAAATCCCAGCCTGTTCAATCGTGGCTATACTATGACCTTTAGTAAGAAGTCCTAAGGTAGGAGTGACACCAGCATTGTGGCAGATTCTAAAGAGCCCAGGACCCCACTTTCAGGTGGTCTGGCTTTTGGAGCCTCCTCCCGACAAGTGCAGGCAAAACCTGCCCATGACTTGTGTTTAACCAAGGGAAGGAATGTGGAAATTAACAGGATTACACTTGTGTGATCACATACACAAGCTAACAGTGCCCGTCTTGTGAGAGGACTCCCCTTGCCGCCTTGAAGAAGCATCTGCCATGCTGTGAGCCACCCCAGAAATGGTCCATGAGGGAGAAACAGGGACACTGTCAACAGCAAGTGAGCTCCCAAGTGTAGCCTCCCTGAACTGGGCCAAAGCAACCATGAGCTCATAAACACTACTAAGATTGTGAAATTGCTGTGTAGCAACAGGTAACTATCTTAGCTTTCATGCCCATTTGTTCTTTAGATGTTCCCACCTGGATGTCCCAAAGACACCTCAAACTAAGTACTTCCGAAGTGAATGGCCTCTCCCCTCATGTCGCATCCCATAGGCCCATCTCAGCAGGTGGCACTACTATCAGCCACATCAGAAGAACTCATTGGAGCTCAAAGGGACTCAGTAGTGTCACTACACATCTTGGATGGGTCTCCTTAGGCCCTCCTCTCCACCACTGCCTTAGTACACACTCTCATGCTTTAACACAATGGAGCTATTTCATTAATTCCTCAATTTCCCTGGCTCCTGGTCTCTCTTCTAAATAGCTCCCAAGATCATCTTCCTAAAAGGTAAATACATATGACTCTTCAGGACCCTTCAGAACACTGAAAGGAAAGAGGCCAAGCTTGCCCTGGCCTGCTGGCATGCCTCTTCACCCTGAACTCGCAGTATAATGTCTCACCGTGTTGTGCCATGCTCCTGATCTTTGCTCCTACTTCCTTCTCTGTCTGCAGATCACCTTCCATCTTTCAAAACTGAGGCTTCAACATCAATTCCTCCCACTTTACCTCTCTCAGGCTCACAAGACCTTCTTTTCTGCTCTCCCTGGCACATGCTTCAAACATCAAAACATCTTCAGCACTACACTATGTTCATCTGTATGCTAAAGGCTCTGAGCGCCACACATACAGGACTGTACTATATTTTCTTTGGCTTAGTACAGTCCCTGGTACTTGTAAAATGTTCTTGCAAAAATCTGACTTTTGATGATTCTGTTGTTGTTTAATGGACCTGAAATAAGCTATACTTCATTAATGGTTATCTAATATTTTTCCTATCTAAAGAAACCAAATGAGGGCTGAGATTGTGGCTCAGCGGTAGAACACTTGCCTAGTACGGGCGGGACCCGGGTTTGATCCTCAGCACCATATAAAAATAAAGACATTGTGTTGTGTCTACACCTAAAAAAATAAATGTTAATTTAAAAAAAAAAGAAAGAAAGAAACCAAATGAGTCTCAGTGGGAATGAACAAAGTAATGAACAAAAAAAAGACATTGTTTCTGGTCTGACTCCCTATAAACTGGTTGTTTTACACTGCTGGTCTCTGTTTCTTCATTTGCAAAACAGTGCTAATATAAAAGATGCCAACACTACTCAATAGTATTCAAATTTCATAATGTACATTAAAGTATCCTGATCCTTTCCCCTTCTCCCTGCCTACATTCAATCAGCCACCTGATCCTCTTGATACCACTATTCTCACACAGGCCATTTCTTTCTGTCCCAGGGCCACTACTGTACTACAAAGCCACTATAAATCCCGGCCCTGGACTACTGAATCCATTCATGTTGCCCTCACCTATGCAGAGGTACACCACACTCCGATGCTGATACTCCCATTCACATGACCACAAGATTCTGGAAACCTAGACAGCAGGTCCTGCAGACCTGTGTCCTGCCTCCTCCTCCTTACCACCTCTCCCTTGTGCCTTTTGTGATATGTTGGCTCACTCCTGTTCCTGGGCCTTCCTACCTGCACTCTTCTCCACATGGAGGGATTCTGCCCTTCTTGTCTGACAGACTATACTCAGCCTGCAGATGACCCTTCCTGGCCCCCAAACTGGATTAGGGCTCCCCAGGTATAAACTGCTCAAACTCTAATTTTCTTAGGTCATAAAATTCACCCTCTTTCTCAGTATTATTTCTGTTTTCCCTGCAAGATGCTAAATACTGAGAGAACAATTACCTTCCCCTCATGAACCCCAGATCATCAAATCCTGGACAGAAGTTGGCCTAATTCAGTTAATGAATAAAGGAAACATACTCTTAAATATTAAAGGCAACTCTGAACAGTAATTAACATCAAAGCAGTACTGACCTGGTGTTTTCGTTGTACTCAAAAATCTGAACCTTGGCCATTGCATTTGGACTACTGTCATCGCTGCCTACAGCAATCATTGGAGAATGAGCACGGGAGCTGAAATGAAGAGTAAAAACACTTCACATCATCATCAGGACAGTGGATTCAAGAATCACAAACTCAAGACCAGCTGAGCATCTGCACTTCAGTCTGGCCCTACTGACTTCCAGCTCCCTGCCACTCACCTCACAACCACACCTTGCAATATGTGTGTTTAAAGACGTCACACAGGGGACTGATGGGTCAAGCTGTACTGAATTATTTCTAAAAACACATTTTCTATGGCTTAGAAATGAGCTTTTTTTCCCCAAAAGAGAAAGTTTCATTCAACAGATTAAAAAAGATACCTGAGATGCCTCAGCAGTCTGTCCTCCTACAGACATGCAATGAAGAGGTACCTACTGTGGTGAACCTGATGACACAAAGTTCCAAATGCTTTGTACAAAAGGAAGAAACTCAGGCAGGAGGAGGAAGAGTAGGAAAGACTACCTCCTGGAAATCATGCTCCCATATCAGGCTCCCCTCAAAATTTGTGTGTAGGCAACTTCATTTTAAAAAAAGCAGAAGATGAGTAATCAGAATGGCTCTACTAAAGTGAATTATAAACACTCTACATTTTTACACCAAATTACAGTAAGGTATCAATTTCTTTTGCCTCCCTCAACCAAATTAAACAATATCTCAGTAATACTCTTGTTTAACCTCTAACCTCACTATTGTGATCGTTAACCTCTTCAAGCCAAAAGCAAAATGTGGTCATTAGGGGAAAAAAAAAAAAAACATAGCTCTTCATTACTAAAGCTTCAGGTAATTAGATCAAGTCTTCTAATGTAAGAAAAATAACAGTATACTACAAAGTGTTATGGTAGGAAATTAGAGTATTCCTGAGAACCTAACATGAGATTATTTTGCATAAACAACAAAGTTTTCAAGAAACAGATTATTACATCTGCATCTATACTGAATATATTACATTTGCATCTACAATGAATACTTACATAACCTAACAAAGAAAATCTAGCTACTATTTAATTTTTAGAATCAACTAGTAGTCCAAGAAAAAAATAATCGTACATATATTAAATGTTTACATAATATGTTAGAATATCATAAATCCTGTCAGTTATAAATAATATAATAAATACTAGAAAATAAAGGATCAATGTGAGGGAGAAGCAAAATAAACTAACTTCTTTTTTAAGAAAAAAAAACAATAATGTATATCTAAAAAGAAATAATCCGGGCATGGTAGCACACGCCTGTAATCTCAACGGCTCAAGAGGCTGAGCTGAGACAGGAGGATCAGGAGCTCAAAGCCAGCCTCAGCAATGGCCAGGCACTAAGCAACTCAGTGAGGCCCTGTCTCTAAAAAAATACAAAATAGGGCTGGGGATATGGCTCAATAGTTGAGTGTCCCTGAGTTCAATCCCTAGTACCAAAAAAAAAAAGAACAAATTTTTAAAAAGTGAAAACAATATATAACCTAAAACCTCATGTATCAGTAAGGAAAGATACAAATTTGAGATAATAATTACCAACATAACTAAAACAACTACCAACGTTACCACAAATAAAACATCTAATATTTACTAGTCTTATCGTGGGAGGTGGAAGGTTTTATGAAGGTGCTACATTCATCTTTCACAAGTGAGCATGAATACTGTTGCAAGACTACAGAGCAGGAGACTGGGTAGAAGTAAATCATTTATAATGTAATATGACCACCAAGATTAAAGTCTAAAAACATAACTTCAACAATTTATTTTTAGAGGCCAAAGGAACTTTTGTACTCCTCTACATCACTTAAAAATTTTTTTACCAAGTGATTCTTACAATTTTTTAAAAGGTTACACACTACATAGCAGTTAAAAAGAAATGATATAAAAGAGCTTAATATACTTGTAGATGGGAAAATGCCCATGATGTACTTATCATGTTGTGTGCCTACTACATCAGTGCATCTGGATGCATCTGCACATCTGTGCGTTTATCAATACACCAAATATTTATTTGTATATACTCAGAAAATGCCCAGAAAGTTCAGAATATTTACAATGGCTAGCATCCTCTGTGGGGTAAAAACACAGGGATGAAAGACATGGCAGGGAAGAAAAGTGAAAATTTTAATTCAAGATCACATAGTTAAAAAAAGCATTTTTGAAAAAAATAAACCATCAAATCATTAGCTTAAAAATTATTAGCCTGGCCTGAGGCTGTGGCTCACTGGTAGAGCATGTGCCTAGCACATGTGAGCTGGGTTCACTCCTCAGAACCACATAAAAATAAAGAAATATAAATAAGTAAAAAGGTATTGTATCCATCTACAACTAAAAAATATTTTTAAAAAATTACTATCCTGTTTTACTAGGATTATATTATCAGAGGTTTGATGGAGAAGCTTACCTTGAAGGGTTCCAAGAAATACAACTACAGCTTAGCTTACATGAGATCTCATGCTGCAGCGACCACTGGCTGAGATTCATAACGTCTGGTGCCTCATATATTCTTACTATACCATCTGCTGAACAGGTCGCTAACATAAGACCCATATGTTTAGGAGCAAACTTCACATCAGTAACCGATGTTCTGCTGTCCACTAGAGTTGTCCTCTTCACCTGAAAAACAGTAATTATCAACCTAAATTATACACAAAAACAAAACATGGTACAGTGGAAAGAACAAAGGCTTTAGAATCACATACAAAGTCCTTTGCAATTTACTAGCAGTATAAACTTGAATAAGTTAGTAAAACCTACCTGGGCCTCAATTTCCTACAAAGCACTTTGCAAAATACAACACACAAAAATCACTAACAAATTAATTACTACTTTTAAGGCAAAAGAAAGTCTGCCTTAGAAAGCCTAACTTTAGCCAAGGACACTAATGTATGCCTGTCATCTCAGCTGAGGCAGGAGGATCACAAGTCAGAGCAAGAGCAGCCCGAGCAACTTAGCAAGATCAATTTTAAATAAAACTTAAAAAAGAGGGAGGTAATTCAACACCAGAGCACTTCCTTAGCACGTACCACACTCTGGGTTAACTGACCCAGTGCCACAAAAAGACAAAAAATGCCTAACTTTATTATGTAAGCAATCTCTCTTAAGCATATTGTTCACAAAACTAGAAACTGTTAGAATTTACTATAGGTCACTTTGTCATGCAAAGCATGCTGCAAACAGTAATTAAATGAATTAAGATCCTTAAACTGTAGTAAATAGAAGGTTACAAAGTCTCTCAAGCATAAAGGACAGGTAACCTCACTGGACCAACCTCATCTACTTTTAAGTGAAAGTATTTAAAAAACTAAGAAAATGAAGATGACATCATGATAATTACAGAATTTCAACATCACATTTTAAAAGCTATTTTCTGGAACCTAGATTACACAATATTTGCCCAAAACCATCAATAAAATTTAGAAAACAGTTTATTGTCTGATTATCAAAATACTTCTTAAAGACTCCCAATACTAAAAATTTCTAAAAAACAGTATCACATAAAAATCAAAGATAACCTCTTAGCAAATTCTTGTCTACATATTACTAAATAATTCACATCGAGACAAATGAAAAAAACTAAGTATACTAATTATAGTTACTTTAAATACAAATAAATACTCTGAAATTAAAAGAAAAATCCTTCATATGCTACCAAAACTCCTAAAATTCCTTCTCTCCTCCTCAGTAGGCAGTCATTTGCCTTAGGAAGGCCCTAGTGCAAAAGCAATCAGAACATCCCCTGTCCCTATAGGAACAGTTGTAAAAAGAATATTGTTCAAGCAACAAAGTGACAGCAATTAAAATAGAGTGGTAAGAGCATAAGGAGACATACAAACCAAGAAAACAAAATATAGTTCCAAAACAAATTGTCCTTATAAGGTCAACTGATTTTACAAGAAGTCTGCCAAGACAATGTAAAAAGAAGAAAGGCCAGTCTGTTCAAAAAATGGTGTTGGGCAAACTGAATATTCACATCCAAAAGAATGAATGTGGACCCTATCTTACACCATATTCAAAAATTAACTCAGCTGAGTGTGGTGGTGTACATGTATAGTTCCAACTACACAGGAGGCTGAGGCAGTAGATTGCTTGAGCACAAAAATTAGAGAACAGCCTCAGCAATAGTAAAGCCCTGCCTCAAAAGTAATTAACACAAAATGGATCAAAGACCTAAATATAGTTCTAGAACTATAAAACTGTTAGAACAAATTATTGGGGAAAGTCTTCATGACAATGATTTCTCGCATCTAACAAAAAAGCACAGGAAACAGAAGAAAAATAAATTCGATTTCAACAAAATTTTAAAATTTTGTGCATCAAAGAATATTGATCAAGAGTGAAAAAGCTAGCCGGGCGCAGTGGTACATGCCTGGAATCCCAGCAGCTCCAGAGGCTTAGACAGGAGGATTGTGAGTTCAAAGCCAGCCTCAGCAACAACAACATGCTAAGCAACTCAGTGAGACCCTGTCTCTAATAAAATACAAAATAGGGCTGGGGATGTGGCTCAATGGTTGAGGCCCCTGATCTTAATCCCTGGTTTAAAAAAAAAAGAGGGAGAGTGAAAAAGCAACCCACAAATGAAGAAAAATATTTACATATCATATATCTGATAAGGGATTAATACCTAAAATATATAAAGAACTACAACTCAGTAACAACAAAACGCATTATTCAATTAAAAAATGGGCAAAGGATTTGACAAATATTTCCCTCTGTAAGATATACAATTAGCCAACAAGTACATGAAAAGATTATCAACATCATTAATCATTAGGAAAATGAAAAAAAAAAAACATAATGAGATACCACTTCATATTCTCTAAGACGGCTCCAACACTTATTTTCTATTTTGTTGTTGTTGTTGTTGTTCAACTTTCTAACAGACTGAGGAACTAACTTATTAAGTAGCCCACAGATTATGTTCTTGTCCAAAATCAATTGTCCAATCAAGGCAGAGTTAGAATTTAATTGATGCACATAAAAGAGAGTATATTTTGTAGAGCGAAAGCAACCACAAGAGAGAGAGGACCTAGGGGTGTGGCTTAGTGGTAAAGCACATGCTTATCACAAGTAAGGACCTAGATTCAATCCCCAGCATCAAACACACAACAACACACACACACACACACACACGTAACCACAAAATAGAAAAAACAAATTTTCAAAGATTTTAGAGTGTGGGAAAAGTTATATACTAATTACCATATGAAGTGCAAAATCAAAACATTAATCAAGTACTCTGGCTTCATCATCATAATTATAATTAATGCCAGAAGTGCTCCTAAGTATCATTTCAGGCCTAAGACAAAATTAAATAAACAAGTAGGAAAAAAACACAGAAGAAAAGACAGTGGAACTGGTAAATATAGAGGAAGGGGTCGGGTTTTATCAAGTACCCGAGATATTCTTAAAAGGTGGTCTCATATGTCCCCAACCCAGGAACACTACCAGGAGTCTTACCCAGTGACTCTGTCCTCGCAGTTTGTCATTGGATTCTCCTACTATTTCTTCCCATACAGCAGCTGTTCGGTCAAAAGAACAGGAAGCCAAAACCTGTCCAAATTCAGGATGGGCCCACGTCACACGCCACACGGATCCACTATGGGTCTGGGGTATTTAAAAAAAAAAAACATAGTTAATTCATATTTCATACAAAGTTTGACAAGGCTTTACTTGAGAAAACAATAGATATTTTTACTTTAGTAAGAGGAAAAAGCTAGTCTATTTAATATTTTAATAAAAAGTTAAGTTCTAGAATTTTTTAACCTTTAGAAGATATTCTCTACTTGGAACAGTGGCCCCTAAAGTTGTTTTCCTAATATTTTACTAATAAAGACAAACCCAACTGGATAAAGTTCACTGTTTCCTGTGTCCATAGCAGCAGTCTTGCTTCAGAGGTTGGCTTTATGAAGCTTAGAAACAGATTCTACCAGTCCACAATTTTTTACTTACCAATTCTTTCTACAGGACACATCAGCCTAATAAATAAAATGGGATTAACCAAAATTATCTGCTACACAATCCATAGAAACAGAAAGTAGATCAGCAGTTACCAAGGGCTGGGAAAGGGCAGAATAGGAAGTGGCTACTACACAGGGTTTCTTGAGATGATGAAGATGGACTGGAATTATCAAGTGGTGATAGGTGCAGAATTCTGACTATCTCTAAATTTACACTTGTCAAAGGTTTTTTTCCTTCTTCTTTGTGGTAATGAGGATAGAACCCAAAGCCTATTTCATGCTAGCCAAGTGCTCTGCCACTAAGCTATACCCTCAGCCTCCCTGAACTGTATACTTTTTAAATGGGTAAATATTATGGCATACAGATTATAACAATAAAGAAAACCACTATTCTGGTTTAAAAAGAATTATTTGAGGCTGGCTGTGTAGCTTAGTGGTAAAGTGCTTGCCTAGCATGTGCGAAAGAAAGGACCTCGGATGTGACTTAGAAAAGCCAGGTTCAATCCCCAGTACAATAATAATATTAGCAATGATAATAAACTTGATTCAAAAGACTAACAGTATATAAAGACTGTAACAACAAAATGTTTAAATGATTCTAACTGATATCTGGTTAAATATGAGAAATTGAAATCCTTGGACCCTGAGAAAATACAGATGTTCATCAACCTACAATGGTTCAAACTGATACTTCAAACTGTGAGGTTTGATCTTTTCCCGAAAAAACAACACACAACATCAGCCTCTTAAGACAATACAGTTACCAGTCAGCCACACCATCCAGAAAGGAGATAACAGACAGTTTACAGGGCACTCGCAGCCAAGCAAGGATGTCAGGTAGGCTGGGTCTATTCATGCACTTTCTACAGACAGTAGCAGAAGAACAGCTACATGGTAACAGCAATGGTACACTCTGCACCCTTCTCATCCAGCTTGCTCTAGTCCTTTATGCTTCACCTTCAATTCTCATTCAGAGTTATTTTGGAAAAAATGCACTAACACAGAGGATTTTATTAAATGTTAGGTTCCTAATAAACACATCTAACTAAAGAATAAAGTGTGTACAAAAATATTCACAATAAAAAAAATTCATCAGTTAAGCAAAACAGGTAATATTTATTATTTATACAGCCTTTAAAAACATAGGGAAGTATTTTTAAAATATATTGTTAGACTAAAATCCCAGAGACTCAGGAGGTAAGGCAGGAGAATGACAAATTCAAGATCAGTCTGGACAACTTAGTAAGACCCTGTCTCAAAATAAAATAGGAAAAGGTCTGAGGATGTACCATGGTGGTAGAGCACTGGCCTAGCATGCTCAAGCCCTTGGGTTCAATCCCCAGAACCACATTAAAGTGTGTGTGTGTGTGTGTATGTGTGTGTCTCCAATGAGATAGCACTTCATGCCCACTAAAAAAGCTAATAATAAAAGAGAAGATGGGTACTGCAGTACCTGCCTGTAATCCCAGATACTGGGAGGCTGAGGCAGAAGGACTGACAATTTGAGGCCAGCCTAAGGCAATTTAATGAGACCCCATTCCCCCCCAAAACAAGTAATAATAATAATAACAACAACAACAATAATATCAACTGTAGGAAAAAACGTAGAAACTATAACCTTCATATATCATTTGTGCGAATATAAAATGACACAGTCACTTCGGAAGATTTGGCAGCTAATAAACATATACAGCCTAGCATCTGCTCAAGAGAAATAAACCCTAAACATCTACTCAGGAGAAATGAAAACATATGTCCAAACAAAGTCCTGCATGGCATGTTCTTAACAACACTACGGTAGTCTGGATCTCAAACATCCCCAAAAGCCCATGTGCTGGAAGCCTGTTCCCTCAGAGGTGCTACTAGGAAGCAGTGGAACTTTAAGAGGTGAGGCCTGGTGTATGGCCCTTCTGCCACTGAAGGTGTGCCCTGGAGGACAACCCCTTCTCTCTCAATTTGCTCCCTGGCCACATGGCTGTGCTCCAATACATTTCCGTGCCATGATCTACCGCCTCACCACAGGCCCAAAAACAATGGACCAACCAACAAGTAAAGAGCCAGTTACTTTTCTCTCTTTTTTGTTCTAACTAGTTATACCTGACAGGAGAATGCATTTTGACACATTGTACACAAACGGAGCATAACTTCTCATTCCTCTGGCTGTATACAATAGTCACACCAGTCATGCAATTTTTCTCTTATTATTACTTTAGGTGTTTTGTTATGTGTTGTGTTGAATAATATAAATTATTCATGATAGACAAAAACTAAAAACAATTCAAATGTTCATCAGCTGATCATTAGATAAACAAAATGTAGCATATTTACACCATCGACTATTCAGCTTTAAAAGGAACAAATTACTGACACTACATAATGCAGACGAACCTCAACATGCTAAGGGAAAGCAGTTACCCACCAAGAACTAAATATTTAAAGATTCCATGTACATGAAATTTCTAGGAAAGATGAAACTGTAGATCAGCAGTTGCTGGGAGTCTGAAATGGGACTAGGGACTAATTGTAAATGGGCAAAGGGAAATTTCTAAGCTAATGAAGTATCCTAAAGCTGGACTGTGATGATGGCTGCACATTCATTTAAATTTACTAAATCTCACTGAACTGTACATTTAAAACTGATGACCCTTTAAGTTATGAAAAACTCTTGAGTAAAGGTGTTTTCATTTTTTTTTTTTTTTTTTTTTTAGTTTTCGGCGGACACAACATCTTTGTTTGTATGTGGTGCTGAGGATCGGACCCGGGCCGCACGCATGCCAGGCAAGCATGCTACCGCTTGAGCCACATCCCCAGCCCCAAAGGTGTTTTCATTTTTATTATTATTTTTTTTCTACAGTACTGGAGATTGCACTTGGGACCTCAAGCATGCTAGGCAAGTCCTCTACCACTGAGCTAAACCTCCAGCCCTTTTTTAATTTTTGAGATAGGGTCTTGCTATGTTGCCCAGGCTGGCCTCAAACTTGCAGTCCTACTGCTTGGCTTCCCAAGCAGCTGAGATTACAGAGATATTCCACCATCTCCAGCTAAAGGTGCTTTAATTGAAAAATAAATTTAAAAAAAAAATCAAGAAATAAAACTAAGCCAGGTACGATAGCTCACACCTATAATCTCAGTGACTCAAAGGCTGAAGCAAAAGGATCTCAAGTTCAAGGCCAGCCTCAGAAATTTAGCAAGACCCCAGCTATTTAGCAAGACCCTGTCTCAAAATAAAAAATAAAAAGAGCTGGGGACATACCTTAGTGGTAAAGCAACCCTGGGTTTAATTCTCAGTACCAAAATAAATAAATAAATAAATAAAAGTAAGAAAACTACATATAAAACATCACAACTATTAAAAATATGTCAGGGGCTGGGGTTGTAGGCTCAGAGGTAGAGTTCTGGCCTAGCATATGTGAGGCACTGGGTTGGATCCTCAGTACCACATAAAACCAAATAAATATTGGGCTGGGGTTGTGGCTTAGTGGTAGAGCACTCACCTAGCACATGTGAGGACCTGGGTTCGATCCTCAGCACCACATAAAAATAAATTAATAAAATATATTGTGCCCAACTACAACTAAAAAATAAATATTTAAAAAAATAAATAAATAAAATAAAGGTGTTATATCCATATACAACTAAAATATTTTTAAGAAAATATATGTCAAGGAGAAAGGTAAAGAAATATGTTGAAATGCTAATACTACTCATGTAGAATGAAACAGAATTACAGATTTTCTTATTCCTAAATTCTCTGAGGGCTGGGGTTTTAACTCAGTGGTAGAGCCCTTGCCTAGCACGTGTAAGGCACTGGGTTCGATCCTCACTATCACATAAAAATAAAATAAAGATATTGTGTCCATCTATAACTTAAAAAAAAAAAATTCTCCAAAGCATATTTCTAGATTTCTACCGGAGCTACTCAGAGCCTGCATTTTTAAAATGCCCACCTGTAAATGCTAACCAAAAATATCTTTTTCAGACAGAATTTCATTCCACAGGTTTCTACATTGCAGCCCTAAATTTAAGTTATTTTTTGAGTTGAATAACTTGACTTTTCTCTATAGAGTTGTGTCACTAAATAATGTTCTATTAATGACAGATACCAAACATGCTTCGTTTGTATTTGACTTTTAATTCTAGAGGTTATGGGGATGCATTTGCTCGCCACAGGAACAAAAGCCAGCAATGTTCCTATGATGAACAAAAAAATCCTTATTCTCATTCCTGACTATGTAATTACAAAAAATAAACATGTATTGCAAAACATATTTCTATTACTTTAATAGTAAAAAATGAATAAAATATATTTCCAGGAAAAGAACTATGCATAAATTTTATAATTTTCCCAAAATTGAACAGCAATTCATTGATACAACCAAATAGTAAATATTTCTTTTTCTTTTTTTTTTTTTTTTTTTTGGTACTAGGGATTGGACCCAGGGGCACTTAACCACTGAGCCATATTCCCAGCAATTTTCTGTTTTGGGGTGGGGGTTGCCAGAGACTGAACTCAGGGGCACTTGACCCTGAGCCACATCCTCAGCCCTATTTTGTATTTTATTTAGAGACAGGGTCTCACTCACTTAGGGCCTCACTAAGTTGCTGAGGCTGGCCTTGAACTTGAGATCCTTCTGCTTCATAATCCTCCTGCTTCAGCCTCCCAAGCTGTTGGGATTACAGGTGTATACTACTACGCTCAGCTATTTCATTTTTTTAATTGCTATATTTTCACAGAAATTAAATACTTACCTTCCAGCTAGCAGTACAATGCCAATCTCCACTTTCACTTTTATCCCAGACCTATGAAAAACAAAAGGCAGATATTTTATGCAAAGAATTTCCACAAATAAGCTATATAACTGAATCAGTGTCTAGGCAAAGAGGGGAAAATAAATTTCACAAAAGAATAAAACCATTAAGAAAATGTTCCTTCAATCAACTATTGATTAAGAACCTTGAATGTGTCAGGCACTGGGCCAAGCAAGACTGAGGGATCCAGGAACCCAAGCTCTAACAGGTAACAGAGACAATTACCGTTACAGTCAATTTTCTTTTTTTTTCCTTTTTGTTGATGTGCCGAAGATTGAACCCAGAGTCTTATGCACTCTAGGCCAGCACTCTGCCACTATGCTACACCCTGGGCCCTCTGTTCTCATTACGAACAGTAGTTATATTCTGTAAAGTTGCCTTAACTTCTGTATCACTGCTCCTAAGGGAAATGCAGGGTCAGGCTTCTGCTTGCCTCTAGTCTAACATTTTCATCAACTAATCAAAACACATTGTTGATTCATCACATTGCTCTTGCCGGCAAAAACACTGCAATGTGGGCCTGAGGGAGGCTTTTCTTTGTAAGGCTTGTCACAGCCTGCCTGCGCTTAGGAACAGTAAGCAGCACTTCAGCACTACACCATTTCAGGCTATAATATCACTAATAAAGAACAAGACACACAAAAATCATGGCACTAAAGGAACATACTAAGAATTTGTTCATAGTGTGAGTCAAAACACAAAGTGTCTGTCACCTTGTTCTACCTCAGCTGAAACAGTGTGTCTAGGAATTTAAACATTTTACCATTCTACAAGTCTGTAAATGACTGGAAAAGCACAAGTGGGTACAAATAAATTTTAGTTAATAAGAAAATTCACAAATAAAGATTCTATAAATAACATGGATCAACTGTTTATATAACAAAAGTTAAAGTAAAATATTGAATTTTATTATACCCTAAAGTTATAGATTAGTTTGGGAAAAAAAAAAAAAAAGTGCCAATTTAACCTGTGAAAAAAATGTAATGGGAGATTGAGGTTGTAAACTCAGTGGTAGAGCACTTGCCTAGCATGTGTGAAGAAGCACAGGGTTCAATCCTCAACACCACATAAAAATAAATAATACAAAATGTCCATCTACAACTAAAAAATATATATTAAAAAAAAGAAATTTAATGGTAATACTCAACACAGGCAATGATTCTATCAAATCAATACTCACCCTAGAAATGTAATGTGGGTTGGGAATGTAGCTTAGGGTTTACTTAGCATGTGCCAGGCCCTAGATCTGAGCCCCAGCACTACAGGGGGAGAAAAAACAAGGTGCAAAAAGGCAATTTTCCAGTAATTTTTAAAAGCTTTTAAAATATTTGCTAACTTCTCTTCTGGAATTAGACTAAAGAAATAATTCAAAATATATAATATGCTAAGTTAATGAAGTTTTTATTGACATCTGACAGACAACCTACAAACTGAAGGATCAACTAAAAGATCCAGTACTAAGCAGATGATGAAAAAACTGTATGGTCTGTTCAGTTAACAGATATTACTTATGCCATTAGGAATGGTAATTGTTGAAACAGTGCAGCAATAATGGAAAAAAAATTTTTTTACATTAATTTTTTAAAATATCAAAAGAACAGAGACTACCAATAAATATTAACAAGTGTTGAGATAGCAATGAAACTACAAGTAACACTTCTTTTTTTTTTGGTGCCAAGAATTGAATCCAGAAATGCTAACTACTGGACCCTTTTTATATTTTGAGACAGGGTCTAACTAAGTTGCTTAGGGCCTAAGTTACTGAAGCTAACTTTGAACTTGTGATCCTCCTGATTCAGAGTCCTGAGCAGCTGGGATCACAGGCATGTGCCACACTGCACGTAGCTATAAGTAACATTTCTAAAAGTGAAATATATCATTTTCACAAATAAATTATATGTGTGTATATTTATATGGCTCTTTAGTAGAAAAAAAGTATTCTGGAAAAAAATGGGTATTAGGCCAGAAAATAATGAAAAGGAAAAAAAAAAAAAAAAAAAACCTAAAAACTCATGAAATATAAACCCCTGTACTTTGTTGTTATTCTCAGTTAAGACTTTCTGTAAAAATAACACCCTTCCCACACAACCTTTTTATAAATCAATAAAACAAGGGCTGTCTGTTTTATTCTGAGGCTGTCATACAGAGCATAAACCCTCTCCCCTATATATTTAATCGATATGCCTACATTATTCATATCATCCAATTTATGACAGCTATATACATGAGAATGTATACCCAAAACAGGAAAAGAGGAACTAGGAGATAGTTGCACATCAATATTCACAGCAGCCACATTCACAATAGACAAAAAGTGGATGGATGAAATGAGTAAGGGAAATGTGATAAATACACACAACAAATTATTATTCAGTTTTAAAAAGGAATGAAGTTCTGACATATGCTACAATATAGATGAACCTTGACAATACTATGTTATGAAATACATCAGACATAAAGACTATGATTCCATTTATATGAGACACCCAGAATAGGCAAGTTCATGAAGCAGAAGGGAGGTTACCGGGGGTGAGGGCTGGGGAGGAAGGAGTTGCTGGGAGCCGAGCTCCTGGCAGGATGATGGAGAGCTTCTGCATCGACAGCGGCTGCACAACGGGAACGCTGTTTAATGTCACCAAACTGCACGCCTTGAAATGGTTATATTGTTAACCACATAGATACTTCTCCCAGTGACACTAGACCGTTCCAGTACTGCAACACTGGCTCCTCGATAGGTAACTGGGTGTTACAATTTGACCTTCAAGAGATCACTGGTATCAAACTTGAAGGCGAAAAAGGAGGAAAAGCCGTCCTTAGATTTCCAGGCGCTCTGGAGCTGTCCAGAATGCAAATAACCCACGCTCGACCTTTCATCTCCAGGACAGTACCCTTGATCTCCAGGGTCCCAAGTCCCAGACGCCGTCCGCGTCTCCTAGCCCTGCGGACTCTGAGAACGGTGTTCAGGGAACGTGGAGGAACACTACAACTCTGGACCCCAGGAGGGACCGTGGCTGGGACTGCAAGTGGCTTTTCACGTTTCTTTCTTGGGAAACAAAGCGAGCACTGATCCGAAACTCGCTGAGGACCAGGTCCCCAGGTGAGGGCCACGGCAGTGGAGACTCTCCACGGGTGGCCCTCGCTACTGCAGCGGGGAGAGCGCCAGCCCAGGCCCGGCCTCCCCGCTCCGAGGCCGCACCCTGACGCCGGAAGCGCGGGCCACGCCTGCGCCGCGGTGCCCTGCGGCGGGAGCGCGCACGTGGCGGCCTGCGCAGGCGCGCCGGAAGCCCAAGGACGGAGCGCAGGCCTACGGCGCGACCGGGACCCCACAATACCGGGCGCGGAGGGCCTTCGCCACGTCCGGACCCCCACGCAACCCGCCCGCCGCCCCGGGAGCGCCGGGCCTCGAGCTGGGTGGCGTGCCCTAGAGTTGGGACAAGTCCCCTTTCTCCACGCCGGTCTCCCTCCCTCTCCCGCCGGACGAAGCCCCGCGCGCACCTTGACGCTCTGGTCGCTGGAGCAGGTGGCCATCCGCCGTCCGTGGAAGTCGAAAGAGACATCGTGGATGAGATCCTTGTGGTCCGCCGCGATGCTGCGCGCCACAAACATGGCTTCCGACGACGCGCCTCCTCCGCCAGCCCCTCCCGCCTCCGAAGAGGGCGACGGCGACGGCGGCGGCGGCGGCGCGTGGCCCGCAGGCTCGGGGACCTAGCCGCCGAGGCGCCTCCTTCGGCCCGCTCGCCCCGCGCCCCCCCGCTCGATCACCTCGAGCTCGGCTAGCTCACCTCGCCCCACGCCGGGCCGCCCCTCGCCACGCCCCCGTCGCGTGGGCCACGCCCCCGTCTCGCTGGCCACGCCCCCGTGACGAACGCGAGACAGAGCCTGCCTCTGGAAGGTGCCTAGAGCCTGCGGTGAGAGCAGTGCGAAAGCTTGGATATTAGTGCGAATTTAGAAAATGAAAAGGTGAAAAATATCATCCACAGCCTTCAATTTATTTAGGCCAGCTATGGAAGTTTCTCCCCCAAACACGTAGAGACTCGGAGCTGCTGGATTTGGACAGGAAGGATGGATAGAGGAGGGATGGAGTTGAAGGGAGAGGTGAGAAGCTGGGGAGGTCCACCAGGAGGGCAGGGCCCGACACAGTGGGAAGAGTGTGCAAAGACCTCACAGGTTTGATGGGGCAGACAGGCCAGTGGTGGGAACACGAGGTAAGGAAATAATTCTATAAATTCAATACTTTCTTTTTCAAGAAGCAATTTAACTGTACCCTCCTTGGCTTAAGTGAACAGGATATGTTGGCTTACTTACTCTTCTGTTATCTGCAGGGAAATGAAGAATCAAAATAATGTCGGTAAGAGACCCTATTCATAGACCAAATCCCAAAACTCCCAGAGATAAGGATAATTCCTCCTAGTCATAAAATGTGTAAGAATTTATGGCTGGGGCTGGGGATGTGGCTCAAGCGGTAGCGCACTCGCCTGGCATGCGTGCGGCCCGGGTTCGATCCTCAGCATCACATACAAACAAAGATGTTGTGTCTGCCAAAAATAAAATAAATAAATAAATATTTTAAAATGCCCTAGATTTGGTTCATGGGCTGCAAAATTTAAAAAAAAAGAATTTATGGCTCAGAATCCAGTTAGAACCTTTCACCATGGGCCAAAGTGACCTAGAGTTGTCATGGCAGCAGGCACTTGAAAGTGATGTCATCCTGATGTCAGTCAAAAGTCAAGAGGTGGACCTGGGTGAGACTATCTGGAAACTTCTCTGGGATTCCCCAATAAAACTGGAGTGCAGGAGAGGCACCTATTCCTCTCCTCTCTGAGAGGACCCACTCTGTCCCTTCACCATGTCCCCTTCTCCCCTTTCCCATCCTTTCTGATAAACTCATTCATTGCCTGTTACTGTGAGCAACATGTCTGAAATCTGATTGCAAGAACAGGGGTGTGAAGGGGACTTTGCACTGCCTCGGTTTCCTGGAAGTCCTCAACCCTGGAACAAGTGAACAGGCGATGAGGAAATAGAACAAATGAAAGGTTCTCCTTATAGAAACATAAGACATCTATGGGGATGGCAGGACCCCCAAATGAAAGCTGCAGTCCCTCAATGGTGATGTTAAGAACACTGGCAGAGAGAGACCTGTGAAGGGTAGTGATCAGATCAAGGATTCAGTCAGATCAAAAAGCAGAGGAACATTCTTCAGGGCGTTTAATGACTTTTTTTGGGGGGGGGGGTGTTTTTGGTCAGAAAAAGGGGCTAATGGTCAAGTTAGGGAGAATGGGAAAGAGCAGAAGCCTGGGTCAAGGGTGAGAAAATGTAGAAAAAATTCAGAAGTGAGCCTGCAGAAGGGGCTTGCTCTTCCTGTTGTGCCCAGGAATGGCAAGAATGTGGTACAGGGTAAAATAAGCAAGTTAGAAAGATTTCAAAACAGGTTGTCCCAGCTGTCTCCTGAAGGATTGCACAGAAACAGACACAGAGGGGTGGGGAAACAACCTGGCTTTTCTGGGGTGTTTTTTTGTTTTTTGTTTTGTTTTGTTTTTGAGTGAGAGATCACACTGCCAGACAGAAAGCCAAAGAGAGTTATAAAAAGTCACTCTCCTGGGAACTGCCTCCAGGATACCTGCTTTCCCTTTCAAGGGCACACCCCCAGTAACCTAAAGACCTCCCACTAAGCCCTACCCTTTGAAGGTCCCACTCCAAGCTGAGGACCAAGGCTCCAGTAACCTTTGAGGACAAATCACATCCAAACCATAGCAGGTGTTTTAAATTTTATTTTTAAAAATTCAAACAAAATTTCTGCAGACAAGACACACAAATTCTCTTTATATTACATAAAAGTACAAAGAAAAGTTCAGAGAGGTACAGAGTAACAATTTTTATTCTTTAACAGGAGGTTAGATTGTGGGAGAAAGGCAACTTTAACTTTCCACCTTGTATGCACAGCCAAAAGGGCCTCGCCAGAGCTAAGCTAAGCCAGTGGCAGGGCCACATCCTTGAACCTTGTGTTAGTCACTTCTTTGTCACTATGACAAAATAACTGAGAAATACAACCTAAGGGAAGAAAGATTCATCTGGGTTCATGGTGTTGGAGGTTTTAGTTTATGCTTGGCTGGCTCCATTCCCTGGGCCTGGAGTAAGGCACAGCATCATCCTGGACAGGCCCAGCCAAACAAAGCTGCCCACCACAAGGCTGAGAAGCAGAGAAAGCCGGGAATGAAGGGCCTGGGGCAAGATACACCACTCCAGGTCACATCCCCAGTGACCTTCCTCCAACCATGCTCTGCCGCCTGCAGTTCCTACCACCTCCCAATAGCCCATTAAATTATGATCTGACACTGGACTAGTCCCTTGAATGAGATCAGAGCCCTCATGAGCCAGTTACATCCCAAAAGTAGCACATGTGAACAATGCTACATTGGGGTCCAAGCCTTTAGCACATGAACCCTTGAGACACACTCCAGGTCCAAAATCTAGCAAACTTTCAAAACTGTGAGCTAAATAAGCCTCTTTTCTTTATAAAAGTTACCCATCCTCAGGCATTTCATTGTGATAAAAGAAAACAGACTAATAGGCTGGGGATGTGGCTCAGGCGGTAGTGCGCTCGCCTGCCATGCGTGCGGCCCGGGTTCGATCCTCAGCACCACATACAAACAAAGATGTTGTGTCCACCGAAAACTAAAAAAAAAAAATATTAAAAAAATTCTCTCTCTCACAGACTAATACAAAATCTTTTTTTTTTTTTGGTTATTAAAAAAATACTAAGTCATAAAGATATTTTTATGGTGGGTCTCATTCATTTTTTTATTCTTTCTAACCAAAATACAAACATTTTAGTTTATCCATCATCCCCCTGCTTATGCACTAACATACAATAAGATCAACATAGGCCTGCTTCCTTTCTTTTATGCATATAGCTTTTATTGTATATGTTTCACAATATTTCTAAAGTTTTCCTTTATATAGTCATGCATATTTCTCATTAGGCTTTTTAAAAATGCTTTATGGTTTTTATACACTTGTGAGTGAGGTTTTTTAATATTGTTTATAAAAAACTTTTTTTTTTGATACTGAAATTGAACCCTGAAGCTTTTTGCCACTGAGCTATATCCCCAGTCCTTTTTATTTTTTATTTTGAGACAAGGCCTCACTACATTGCTTAGTCTGCTCTTTAGCTTGTGATCCTACTGCCTCAGCCTCCTGAGTTGTTGAGATGCACCACCATACAGGTGAAAGCTATTAATTTTGCTTATTTACTTTTTTTTTCCTGTTCCTTTACTGCACACTGATTCTTGTAGGTATATATATATATTGTAAAAACATAATCTGCAAAATATTTGTATATATGCTTTGTATCAATCAACATCTAATCACAAATACAGTTTCCCCTTCAGTTATTTCAGATAATTTAACACACATAAAAAAATTGGTTACAAATACATTGGAAGAGTTAACTATGAGCAAAATGGGAACATGTGAGATTACCCAAGATTAATAAGGAAACTGTTCCCCGTCTTCAGGTTGGAAGAATAAAAGAAAATATAGTTTTCCCCAGGGACAGCCATTTCTGACCCTCTGAGGTGGCTGTTGGGACATTTGCCGTCATAAGACAGGAAGCTAGGAGCCAGTGCCCCGGCTGACTACGTACGGATGTCTAAGGTTAGCAATGGCCAGAGGAACAAGGACCCACAAGCTCTCAACAGCTGAGGTTCCTGGAGCTGCTGCTGCTGGTACTGCTGCGGCAGCCAGAACTGAGTGAAGCTGCAATGGCCACTGTCAGAATCCACTCCTGAGCAGGCAGCCAGACTCTCCCAGTGCCACTGCGACTGCAGTTGTCTGAGCTGCCTGTTCTGAGAGGCAAAGGTGCCTCTGTTTCTCCCACATTCCAACATCCTACCACCACCTCTTGTAGGCAGAACCTAAGAGCTGGTAGAGTCTGGGAAACGAGTTTGGAGACCTTCAGTTCTCTGTATTACAGAAAGGAAGAGGGGTGGAGGATAAAGCCGGAACTAACCCTAGCACATTGTGGAATAATAGCTGTGATCATAGTTGTCCTCTTTCTGATATTAATGAAAGTGCTTTTACTGGAGTGGAATCTCTTGCAAGGTTAAGTTTCTATTTCCAGCTTTTGAACAGCTTTGATAGGAAATACTGTTTTACTGTATCCACTTTTTCCTGCCAGTACATTAATAAAATTCCTAATGCTGAACCATTATTATTTTTATTTGTTTGTTTTGTTCTGTTTTAAAGACAGAGTCTCACCATATTGCTGAGGCTCTCCGTGAACTCCAGAGTTCAAGTAATCCTCCTGCCTCAGCCTTCTGAGTAGTTTGGACCACAAGTACACACCTCCACATTGGGCTGTTAGAATTCAGGGTTCTGGAAGCCCCAAGACTGGCATCCAAATTGGATCTCTCTAAGCATGTTGCATCTAGCAATTAGTTCAGAGGACTGAGGGTCCCTGAGAGTGACTGAACCTGATTAACCAAATGAACTTTTAATTTCTCTCTCATTCTCTCTCTCTTTTCCACTCCTGTTGCTCTACCACTGGTGGTTCGCTAATATTTCACTTAAGATTTTTGCTTATATTGATAAGGAATATTGGTAGATAATTTTTCCTTGTTTTTGTTTTACTTTTTTGTTCTTTTTTTTTCCCTTAAAATATGTGGTAGTTTGTGTATACTTTGCTTATGTGCTGTTCTTGTCCTTTTCTGATTTATGAA